TTCTTACGAAAATTCGTATACATTTGAAGGTAGTTACAAGCAATAGAATAACGTTTCAAGTAAGTCTTTAGAGGTCTTATTTAAAGTGTTAGGACGTATTGAAGTGTTTTCATACTTACCTAAATAATTTTTAAACGGTCCATTATTTTTGTTATTTTATTGTCGAACAAATTAAAACTAATCCTTAAGAAGTTATGTACAAAAGATGGTTACAATCCGCTTACCCGTTTCAGAGATCCAGCAAACCCACAAACGTTACTCCAGCAGGATTTCGAATAACTTCGCAGCCGAAGAAAATACAAATACCAAATAAGTTGTAACATTTACCTAGTCCAGATAACTAATTAATTAGCTAAAATTTATTTCAATATTACAATTAAAAAAGAAAATGTCTGGCTGCGGTAACGTTTCAAACGTTACTCCAGCAGGAAATGTTTTTTTGAAATAACTAAAAAAGTTTAAGTGAAACAAATTTAAAAATGTGCTTAACAATTACAGAAGGGGAGCAACTAATTATCTATAAAGTTTAAATGACCATTTTCGACATTATTTTGCTGGGGTAACGCACACCGGCCGAATCGTTTCAAACGACACGTTTTTTTACCGTGTTCGGCTTTCGACAGCTGCGGCGGCTGAACTAAAAGTAACAATAGCACTGACCCTACCTACAGCTGCAGTTAAGTGCGTTTTTTCGTGTGCGTTACCCCAGCAAAATAATGTCGAAAATGGTCATTTAAACGTTATAGATAATTAGTTGCTCCCCTTCTGTAATTGTTAAGCACATTTTTAAATTTGTTTCACTTAAACTTTTTTAGTTATTTCAAAAAAACATTTCCTGCTGGGGTAACGTTTGAAACGTTACCGCAGCCAGACATTTTCTTTTTTAATTGTAATATTGAAATAAATTTTAGCTAAATAATTAGTTATCTGGACTAGGTAAATGTTACAACTTATTTGGTATTTGTATTTTCTTCGGCTGCGAAGTTATTCGAAATCCTGCTGGAGTAACGTTTGTGGGTTTGCTGGATCTCTGAAACGGGTAAGCGGATTGTTACCATCTTTTGTACATAACTTCTTAAGGATTAGTTTTAATTTGTTCGACAATAAAATAACAAAAATAATGGACCGTTTAAAAATTATTTAGGTAAGTATGAAAACACTTAAATACGTCCTAACACTTTAAATAAGACCTCTTAAGACTCATTTGAAACGTTATTCTATTGCTTGTAACTACCTTCAAATGTATACGAATTTTTGTAGGAATACTGTAAGTGACTAAAAAGTTATGATGAAATGTAGCTCTCCACGTTCACGATCAAAATGTGTGCGGCCTTTTTTGGCCACCGATAAACCTGTGTGTGGATATATAAACTGAATGTTATGCCAATAATTAGTTGTTTAGTTCAGTTGTCTACCTGTAGAATTTCAGCGTCGTACATATAATAATTTACGAGATAATTAAATAAAAGTCATTAGAAGGTGCAAGACCGTGGTAATCCGACCATGTTTAGGTGGTTACAAAAAAGCGATCACCCAGTACATTGCGCTGTCTTTTAAAATGTTTAGTGTAATACACCTTACGATTTCGGTACAGTTGCGTACAGTGTTAAATACATTCAATATTTATTCATTATTATTACCTATTATTTATTTTGTTTTTTTCCCTAATTGATCTTAAGCACTAGTTTCTTTACTTAAAATTTATTTAGTCTTTTTTACTACCGGAGCTACAATCAACAGAAAATCTGCACTGGTCCGCTAAAATTATAAATATGTAGATACATGTATGAACGATTCGCCTGACTGCAATAAAACGAAAATTTAAACCAATAAGAAATCGTTTCATTTCTTTGATTTTTTTTTTGTAAAGAAATAACACTAAAGTAATTGTATTTTATTTTGGGGTGTATAGAGCTTAGACTTGAATGCATCAAAATATTTAAAGCAACAAGTTATCTTCAATAAGTTAAAATAGACCGAATAGTAGAAGAATAAATTAGAATAAATTAGAAGAAGTTGTAAATTAGAATGCATCAACATTGCATCGCCCAACAGACGTGTACCTCGTAAGAGTAGGTAATATTGTTCTGTGGTCTATACCTAGAACCGAGAATTATCTATACCTATGTACCTAACGTTAAGCGTTGAGCCCGTTACTGTTGATTTCTGTTAAAAACGAACAGTTGTTGAATGATATTTTGATATAATAACGGTAATTTAATTTATCGAGTGAAAGTGATACATTTTTATAGATAAAATTATTGGTCAGATAATATTTGTCAATCAAGAATCGCTGATAATACATCCTTCGCTAGAACGCGGGAGGGGAGGGGCAAAGGGATACTTCATTGTTTGCAATTTGCATCTAGTGCACTAAACTTGACCCTTAGGCAGATAATATACGTGTTGTAAAGTACGTGTGCGCTTCCGCTTTCTATTTTTGCAAATATTTATCGTATTCTTGAGAGTTCTTCAATATGTGTGTACCTAATTACTAATAATAGGCATTAATGCTAATTCGATTCAATTTAAGTAATTGTCAATTCTTGTCTTAGGATATTAATTACTAATGCTAATATTGAAATTTCGCTCAGGGTGAACAAATTAAAAACGATCATAACTTTTAGGTAGGTATATCACTTATTACTAATTTTACATAAATAATTTATTTTATTATAATTTAACTCACCGCGATTTTGTGATCAAATATTTTATTTTCTCCAACATTATTACAGAAATAATGCAATACAGAGTTTGTTCGCGATATGCTAGCCTAAGTCGATTCATCACTTAAAAAAATCCCCATCTATTCACAAAATACCTATTTACAACGCATACGTTACACTCTTCAAAACTTATCATTTCATTTCATATTTCTTAAATTCGGTTTAGAGACATTTATTTCTCATAAAAAGAACAATACAGTTCACTTACATAATGAGAAAATGTAACAACACAATAAATTAGTTAAGTATCTCTGTGATCTCAATACACAGTAGTATAAAACACATATTACAGTAGTACAAAACTAAAGATATACAGACAACTTCATTAGAGTCAGTACTTTATCCTAATGTAATCTCCTAATTTTTTTTTAAATTTATACAAGTTATCACTTTTAGTAATATCATCAGGTATTTCATTATAAAGTTTTATACCTTCATATAATATATTTTTCTTACCATAGTTGGTTCTAGGCTTTGTCACTTCTAGTTTTTTTCGTTTCCTAGCGATGTATGTATAGGTTTTTTCTTTGAAGCTTAATTGTGAATGTGTACCTTGTGTTATGATTTTATGTATTAGTATACAAGTTTTAAGAATGTATAGTTGTCTAATTGTTAGGATTTTGGTATCCTTGTAGATGTTAAGTGTTGGTGTTAGGTAGTCGTAGTTATAAAGTGTTTTTATTGCTTTATTTTGCAAGATTTGAATTTCTTGGATATTCGATTTCGAAGCAGTGCCCCATATCTCAATCAGGTATTCTATATGAGGTCTAACTAGAGCGTTATAGATCATTACTCGAGCCTTACTAGGGACGCAAAAGGACATTCGACGTAGTGCACCAATAACAGGAGATATTTTGGATTTAATATATGCAATATGGTGTTATATATGCAATATGGTGTTGATATATATGCAATAAATTACCTATACCTACCCTAAAATTAAACTTCAATTAACAAATACTACGCAGGTACCAATTCTATGAACAACTATAAACAATTCACCTAAACATTACGAGAAAACAAAAGCATTCAAAACAATACCTAATCTCCCGGCTGATTACTAATTATGCAATAAACAATCCTAAATAAAAAATATTTAAAAAACATGTAGTTTTTTGTAACACTTATGTACATATCCGTAGTAAACTTGCAAATAATATCCTACATATTTTAAAAGCCAGCACAATGTACTGGGTGATCGCTTTTTTGTAACCACCTAAACATGGTCGGGTTACCACGGTCTTGCACCTTCTAATGACTTTTATTTAATTATCTCGTAAATTATTATATGTACTACGCTGAAATTTTACAGGTAGTCAACTGAACTAAACAACTAATTATTGGCATAACATTCAGTTTATATATCCACACACAGGTTTATCGGTGGCCAAAAAAGGCCGCACACATTGTGATCGTGAACGTGGAGAGCTACATTTCATCATAACTTTTTAGTCACTTACAGTATTCTTACGAAAATTCGTATACATTTGAAGGTAGTTACAAGCAATAGAATAACGTTTCAAGTAAGTCTTAAGAGGTCTTATTTAAAGTGTTAGGACGTATTTAAGTGTTTTCATACTTACCTAAATAATTTTTAAACGGTCCATTATTTTTGTTATTTTATTGTCGAACAAATTAAAACTAATCCTTAAGAAGTTATGTACAAAAGATGGTTACAATCCGCTTACCCGTTTCAGAGATCCAGCAAACCCACAAACGTTACTCCAGCAGGATTTCGAATAACTTCGCAACCGAAGAAAATACAAATACCAAATAAGTTGTAACATTTACCTAGTCCAGATAACTAATTATTTAGCTAAAATTTATTTCAATATTACAATTAAAAAAGAAAATGTCTGGCTGCGGTAACGTTTCAAACGTTACTCCAGCAGGAAATGTTTTTTTGAAATAACTAAAAAAGTTTAAGTGAAACAAATTTAAAAATGTGCTTAACAATTACAGAAGGGGAGCAACTAATTATCTATAAAGTTTAAATGACCATTTTCGACATTATTTTGCTGGGGTAACGCACACCGTTTTTTCTACACGTAGGTAGTTTGTATTTTGTACTTGTTTTAATCTTTATTTGTACCTATTGTAAATGTTTGAAAAGAGAGGGCTAGTCGAGCAGCTGATATTTACTTTATACCAGACGTATTGTTTACTGTATACTCTCTATAGGTTATAAGAAATTAAAACTACAATGTTTCACATTATTTCTTTTTTATTTGCTTTCACCGGAATGTATCGGTGCGAGTGCGCCGGTGTAGTGGCTTAATACTCCTCGGCTCCCTCACCCTCGCCCTCGGCGGAGTCCATGCCGACCTCTTCGTAGTCCTTCTCGAGTGCGGCCAAGTCTTCACGAGCTTCAGAGAACTCACCTTCCTCCATACCCTCACCGACGTACCAGTGCACGAAAGCACGCTTGGCGTACATAAGGTCGAACTTGTGGTCCAAACGAGCCCAGGCCTCTGCGATGGCGGTGGTGTTGGACAACATGCACACGGCACGCTGTACCTTAGCCAGATCACCACCAGGAACCACAGTTGGGGGCTGGTAGTTGATGCCCACCTTGAAACCGGTAGGACACCAGTCCACGAACTGGATGGTCCTCTTTGTCTTGATGGTAGCGATAGCCGCGTTGACGTCCTTGGGCACGACATCACCACGGTACAACATGCAGCAGGCCATGTACTTGCCGTGACGGGGGTCGCACTTGACCATCTGGTTGGCTGGCTCGAAGCAAGCATTGGTGATCTCAGCCACAGAGAGTTGCTCGTGATAAGCTTTCTCGGCGGAGATGACGGGCGCGTAGGTGACCAGAGGGAAGTGGATACGTGGGTATGGCACCAAGTTGGTCTGGAACTCGGTGAGATCGACGTTGAGGGCGCCGTCGAAACGCAGGGAGGCCGTGATGGAGGATACGATCTGGCCGATGAGACGGTTCAAGTTGGTGTAGGTTGGGCGTTCAATATCCAAGTTGCGGCGGCAGATATCGTAGATAGCTTCGTTGTCGACCATGAAAGCGCAGTCAGAGTGCTCCAAGGTTGTGTGGGTGGTGAGGATGGAGTTGTAGGGCTCGACGACGGCGGTGGACACCTGGGGTGCAGGGTAAATGGCGAACTCCAGCTTGGACTTCTTTCCGTAGTCCACGGAGAGTCGCTCCATCAACAGGGAGGTAAAACCTGAGCCAGTGCCTCCACCGAATGAGTGGAAGATGAGGAAGCCCTGCAGGCCGGTGCACTGGTCAGCGAGTTTGCGGATGCGGTCGAGTACTAGATCAACGATTTCCTTGCCAATGGTGTAGTGACCACGGGCGTAGTTGTTGGCCGCGTCTTCCTTACCAGTGATAAGTTGTTCTGGATGAAACAACTGTCTGTATGTGCCAGTGCGGACCTCATCTGTTGGCAATTTGAAAAACTAAATTAGTAAAGGTACTGACATAGCCAAGTAAGGGCAGCATAAAAATTATTTTCAATCAACAAGTTACTTTTATAAAGATGTACAGTCTACCTTCACTTGAATTTATAGACAGAAGACTTAAGTCCTGAGGAGCAAGTACTGGTTAAAACAAGACAAGAAAGAAGTCTGATGGCATTAGTTTACTAACCTACTACTGTAGGTTCCAAGTCAACGAACACTGCCCTAGGGACGTGTTTGCCTGCACCGGTCTCACTGAAGAAGGTGTTGAAGGAGTCATCACCACCGCCCACGGTCTTATCTGTGGGCATCTGGCCATCAGGCTGGATGCCATGCTCAAGGCAGTATAGCTCCCAGCAGGCGTTACCAATCTGGACTCCAGCTTGGCCAACGTGTACAGAGATGCACTCACGCTGTGGACAAAAGAAAATTGACATGAAATTTGATGTGTTATTTAACTTTACAGGACAAATATAAAGAGGCAAAATAGTATCCAACTATTCCGAGTAATAGGTCAATACAATTATGTGAACTTACAATGTTTTAAAATAGGTATACAAGTATATGGCATAAATTATCATTGATGTAGAATCTTGCATTAATTTAATCAAGTTTATTCACATGATTAAAATCAGAAATATCATGTGAAACTAATTTCAATATAATTAAAGAGTTCAATTAAGATTCAAAAGCATGTTTATTTTAAATTCAAATCTTGCTGGAATTCTACACATGAATTACATTTAGTAACAAATGCATTAAATTTAGCTCAAATTGTTGTCAGTTTATTTCAAATTTCTTTTGGATTTAGTATCGATGCAGCCAAGCATAATTGAATTCAATATTTATACATGTTTTGTTTAATATCTTTAGTTAATACATTGTAAAATAAACTTTGTTGTATAAATGACCTTGCAGTAATTACCTATGGTCTACAACAAAAATATGTTCCAAGATCTTCAAATAATTTCTATGTAGGTCAGTGAAAGCCATTAACTTTTTACTCCAAGCAATTATAATGGCTCGACAAAAAGAGAGAAAGGTGAGAGCATTACAATACAAGTACCGGCCGGCCCGGGCAGAAAATAGTGAAAGTTTGTGGATATCGATCTGCACAAAGTACTCCGTCCTTTCCGCCCTTAGTGACTGATAAGGTTAGCCTACAGTAAAAGCTGTTGTAAACACTACTACACGACCAACATTAGCTTTATTAAAATCAATAATCTTTGTAAATATACAAGTGTGTCATTATCGTCACCATATTTCAGATTAGAAAATTTCGTACGATGAAGTACTGAAAGAATCCTGTAACGATATTATGAATAAATTAAAAAGTATAAGAATGACGACATCTTTTTTGTTAATTTTGAAAAGGTGACTAAAATTTCGAGATAAATTGTTCATATATTTTTTTATCGATTCAGTCGACTAAAAGACAAGGCCAAGGTGTTGTTCCGAAAACGTGATATCACGCCGGCCAACCTCGAATGAGGTCATCGACACGTCACCGTTGAACTAGTGGAAAACGACAAACAAGACTTTTTTATGTAAACGAGTAAAAAGTTTAATTATTTTGAAAAAGTAAGTCACTGACTACGTTCGAAATTAAAAAAAAACAGGGCGTGGCAAGCCTGATTGCGGCGACGTTAAAACTACAGATTTAGACAAAAAATCTAAATCTCATACACTAAAGAACAAAAGGTTGTAATATCTATATTTTCTATCATGAAAGCTTCTTTCTCTACACAATGTACGGTTCTAAATACGGATATTTCAATCAATCGGTAGCATACCGACAAAATGGTGGCGTGACTACCCGGCGTTTAGTACCTCGAAATACACGTTATTAACACTTTCAAAAGCTGTATACGGTTAAATCAATATAAAGCTAAAAATAAGAAACTGTACTCACCATTTTGATTTGAGTTTTGTTGAACTTACTGTAGAAATAAATTAATTAAATAATTCAGTCGTCGTTCAGCGCGACCGGTTAAGAGGCTTGCCAAACGAATGTGAATAGCAAAAATCCGTTGACGCCGCTTTTATAGTACCGGCTTCGTGGGGGACCGACGCTATGCGATCGATGCAGGGATTGGTCGATTTCATTGCCGCATGGGCGGACCAGCCAATAAGGTTAAACCTGCATTATATCACCATTGCGGGAATATGTGGGTTTGTGAATCATTCTGCCTTACACCTTTTTAGTGATGTACAATCAAATCGATATCGAACATTCTGGTAGCCGGCAAACTCACTAATAACACCATATTTTTGTTGAGTAGGTACTGCTTATCTGAGTTAAACCTAATATGCAAAACTTACAAAAACGGAATTGAATCGGCACAGCACGTTCAGCTTAATACGCAAAACGACGTTATTACTAACGTGATGATGAGATGAAAATACAATCTGAGGGCCTAGTTTAAATGTATTTGACAAGAACTCACCATCGACGGCAAGCGCTTTTGGTGTTGCGATTGGTGAAGGTTTCAGTGCACGCCTAAAGCAACACCAAACTCGGTTACCGTACGATCCAGTTGATGCATAATAAACTTACACTATGCCCTCTGAGGGCCTATTGTGAGTTTATTTCACTTAGTCTGTACTGAACTCTTCACCAATAGCAACGCCGAACGCGGTCAAGAGTTGATGTGATATTAACTCATGCTAGGCCTCAGTGCTTACTTCTACCTTATTATCCAGAGTACCTACTTGTAACAACAATGTAACACAAATTCTCAAATTTTAAAATGTAAAGTAAATTAAGTTTGTCATTTTGAAAGTTAGAAACATGTAATAAGATATAATTGCTAGATCAAAGCCAGGGGCAATAGCTACTGTTACATTTAATGAAAGCAAAGGTAACGGTGGACTTTTCAAGAAAAGTACATTTAATACTATTTTAATACTTTCTATGTCCATCGACCTAAGTGAAGCCACATCACTAAAAAGATCGTTATTTTCTTGTTGTCGATGTGTTGTTCTGACTTAGGCTGGTGACAGCATACTACGATACGACAATGTCTTTGTGTGCGAACACAGTCTGGATACTTTTTTACCAGTTTAAGTCAAGTCAAGGCAATGGTTTTTCAGAAATTTACATTTATTAACGAAGAACATTGATTGTATGCTATTTGTAAAGCTGAAAGTCAGAATTGTATGTTAACCGCCGTAATTTCGGGGAATAGCGGACATCCTACACACACATATGCAGTTTGTATTTCATGTCCAAATACGTTTGTCGTATGTAGCGGTGTTCAAACTTTTTCTATATTTAGTAACGGACGAGACAGGCGGAGTAAGCGATCAATAGTCTGGGTTTCTTTGCACATGAGTTGAGTTGGATTAGAATTAGAATACGACGTAGAGTATTTCTGTTTTATAAGTCACCAGGAATTTTAATTTTAATGCCTAGTTCAAAAATTCGGGCTCCGAATGTTAGGATGATGAACGAGGTCTAGTCCATAGATAAAAATAAAATAATGATTAATGACAAATAAATAATCTAAGGCCCAGTCTTTCTATGTTATTCTAGTTGTTTTTAACAAACAAATAAATAATTTAGAGCTTAATAATACCGGTATGGGAACCAATAATACTAATACCCTTTATAAAAGTGTTGGTGTTTCAATACTTATTGAACTTATAGTATAGCCATATGTATAATAAATAACACATATGGTATAGGTAAGGTAACATCAAACCATTACGTAAATCTTAAAATAAACTAACTAACTAATAAACAATTATAATCCGTGTGGTGACGGATTAAGAATACAGAGTGTCACCACCCCTATTCATCCCGTGGGTGTCGTAAGAGGCTACTAAGGAAGCAAACTACGCAGGACAACAGCACTGCAGAGAGAAGGAAAACTTGAAACAAACCCTATGGCCAGTGTGGTATAGTAGGCCAAAACCTCCTTTCTAAGGAGAGGCCTATGTCCAGCAGTGGACTAGTAAAGGCTGTTGATGTGATGTGAAACAATTATAATACGTCGTCGTCGTCGTATAATCGTCATTAGTCATAGGTACCTACATAATTATTTCTTTTGTATTAGTTATATTTAATCTGTAAATATATATTCTCAATTCTTTTGGGCATTTATAGTTTTGAAAACCATTATTTACTTTTGTATGCCTGAAATAAAATCATTACGCCTAAATAAATAATTTGTATTCAATAACAATCGCAATGGTCATGAGCATGTCTCATATGTACAATAGCTTTCATTTCCAATTTTATTTTCATTATAAATTTTTAATTTTATTTATGTTAAAACTTATTTATTAATGTAGGTACCTACCTACTGATCTTGATTTTGTCTGAAATCGGTGCTAAAAGCATTTGTTTTATACAAAATGTAATTGACTGATAGGTACTATTTTAGATTGGTTATGTTTATATTCGAGATACGGTCGGAGATTCGTGTTACGGTCTATTTATGTAATAAAACTGCTTTTACTGTTTTAATATTTTAAAAATGTTAATACTCCCGATCAAAAAGTTGGGTGCCACTGTCTCTTTAAGGAAAATAGTGTTTGATGAATTCCAGTCGATAGTACACTCAGTCATTTGAAAGAAATAACAAATGTTAACTGAATAACTTTATTAAAAAACTTTCAATGTTAATTTTTGTCGAAGTTTAATTTAGATCGTGTCACAATTGTTAAATTTTCATTACATTGTTAACAGCGCCACCTACATTTACCTTAAAGAAGTTCTTGGACTAGTACTTTGTCCAACGATTAGCCGACTATGCTGCCATCTGTCTGCATAATTTAGTACCAATAAAAAGATGGTGACGTTTTGGTAATTTTTAACGTTTTAAATAGTCCACGCAAAAAGCCCCTCTTTTATAAGTTTGTCGGATCTGCCTGTAGCATCGCAGCTTCTGAATAAATGGACTGATAATGATGCGATTTTTTAATTGAAAGCTGACGAGATGGTTCTTAGATATAATCTGTGGAGGTTATCAGCTAATTTTTTAGTTGATGAAGAGATCTCACTAACTTAAACATTCTCCGATTGATTTGATATTCAACGACCTGATGCTGCAGGCAAACTTTAGGTTGATGCTGGTGTCAGGGGCGTTCCAAATTTCTTAATTAATTTCTTTCAGTATCTGATACTTGATTTCTGCTAAATATCCTACAAGTACTGGTCAGCAGTATTTGGAATTTCTATAAGTACATATTATTACTTTTTGTAACTCTACAAATTCTAAAATTCTTGAATCTTGGACAATCCATTTGTAGTCAATACCTCATTGCTGATTCATCCAGGCTGAAAACGCAGGAGTCGCCATCACCGGATACGGTGTGGATGGATGGGATGGGATATACCCATCCCATTCAACCCCACCCGTTTCAAGTAGACATATGTTTTAAAGCTAAAACTTATGTAATAAATGAAGTAGAGCAGTTGTCTATTGAAGGCTGTTGATAAAACGAAAATTAAGGTTTTGCCGCGTTTCGAATTTAATCGAAATTTAATCGATTCTTTTAACTTATGGCAAATTATTTTGGAGTTGAGGTGTTCGCATTGTTCTATTGTATTGAAAAAGTCGCAGAGAAATGCTTTAAGGTTTGAAGAACAAACTACAACGCCAACGCTTCACTTCGAAATAATGCTTGCATAAAACCTTTATTGTATCCCTTATTATCAACGATATCTAATTACATTTAAAGTCACTTTCAAATTAGAAATATCACATCACATCAACAGCCTTCACTAGTCCACTGCTGGACAAAGGCCTCTCCTTAGAAAGGACGTTTTGGCCTACTATGCCACGCTGGCCCGACGGGTTGGTATAAGGTTTGTGCCAAGTTTTCACAATGTTTCAATGTTTCAAGTATTGATTAATTTTAACGATTGCATGTCCAAGAAGTTTACATTTCTCATTCCAAACCAGCCAAAACCTTTTGCATTGTGGCGACTAGACATTGGATAAAATTACAGTGAACTGTGTTTTATCATTGGATTTTAGGGTTGCTAGGTAGGTTAGACGCTATTTAATATATGTATTTTGTATATTATTATGTAGGGAATGGTAGTTATATTTAATAAAATAATAACTAGATTTACTTTTAAGTAGGCGAAATGGGGTCTTTATGCATCGTCTGTTTTGCCATAGGTATACATTATTTCTAGAAAATATTGAAAAAAAATATAGGGGTTAATTTTTTTTGTCCCTTGTCATTTAGGGGTATGAAAAGTAGATGTTGGCCGATTCTCAGACCTACCCGATGTGCACACAAAATTTAATAAAAAGTTGGTCCAGCCGTTTCGGAGGAGTATGGTAACTAACATTTGTGACATGAGAATTTTATATATTGGATTAAACAGCATAACAATGCGTGAGTAATTAGTAAACCCTAACCTACGTACGAAAAAATCGAATGATAAATCACCGGTCTTTCACAGTTCACTGTGATTTTGTCCCATGCCTAGTGCAGACCCTAGATTAAACGGGAAAAAGCGCAGGAAGAAGATGATTAAGTAGTGTATATTTCAAATTATTGTTTAATATTAAAGGTAAGTGTAAATATACAATCAATTTATAAACTTTAAAATGTATTGACTAACTAAAAATAAAATGTTATTTTAATAGTTATAAATTTCAAAAGTAATTATCTAACTAGTTACTAGTAGTTACACAGTTCGTCTCGTATTAGCAAAGACACTGTTGCGATCTCTTTGATCTCTTTATACTTTTTTTAATAATAAAAAAAAGTATAAAAAAATATATACCTATTTGATACAAGATACAAAAAAAAAAAATTGCCCGTCAAGGTAATACGTAGAGTAGGTACTCTACGTAGTAAGATTATAATATAACTACCATCAGCTACGTAAGTACGTAGCTGATTAGAACAAGATCTCTACTGGTGGAACAAATGTACTCATAAATATGC